TTTGTGTATTTACTTATTTTATAGCTTTTTTCCTACAGAAAGTTTTTGTATAAATGTATGGTTTGTATATATTATGGTTTGTTTAACATTTTGAAAAATTATATTTGTTTCTTATTTGATAAAATTAAATTAGTTATGTGACTTAAGCGTGTTACAATGAAATAAATAATGGTTTCTTTAATGAGAATGTTTTATATTTTATTAGTTTTATTGTTAAGTTGAAAATTTAGGTAAATTCCTGAGTTTGATTTTTTTAGAGAAAATCGATAATGTTAAAAAAAATTTGAATTCAACCAATGATAACTAATTAGTTAGGTACCGATAAATTATTTAGTTCACATTATTATTTACTATATGTTGTCATCAATATTCTATATATGTTTCATATAAGCAATGGATAATTGTTCTTAGATGTATCACGTTTCATTTAGATGGTTGTGCAGGATAACTTATTGTAATGAGATTGAGGGTTTTATTAATTGCACATAATTTAATTTAAAAAATATTAGTGGAGACATTATTAAATGTCCATGTAAGAGATGTAAAAATAAAAAATTTCTCAATTCATATATTGTTACGGTGCATCTTTTATAAAAATCATGAAAAAATATTTGTGTTGGTTTACATAAGTAAAATCATATGTTTCTTATGAGACCATAGTAGAAAAGATGGTTAAGTCAACTTCTAGTTTTAACAACATGTATAAAGTTATAGATGATAACAATAATCATTGTAGGAGTATAGTGATGGATTTAACAAGAATGAATCATGATTATACAAATGAATATTCAATTGTTATAAAGAACCAAATGCAGATGCAACTAAGTTTTTTGGACTTTTAAAATATTATGATGAATCATTATGGAATGGGTGCACAAATCACAATAAATTATCTATTATTGCACATATGTTAACCATCAAGTCAGATAATGGGTTGAGTGAGGCTAATTATGATAAAATCGTTAAATGAGCAAGAAACATTTTATCTAAAGGGAATAAGCTAAAATAGAACTTATATAATCCACGATGAAACCCCTTAGCCTAAGAAATTAGAAAATTAAAATGTGTTCAAATTTCTACATGTTATACTATATGAAAATACATCTTTGACCAAGTATAGAACTTACACGCATGCTTTGTATAAACCTAAAACTGCTAAACGAAGGACTCTTATTACACATAGAAAACTAAGATACTTTCTAATCACTCCTAAACTGCAAAGACTATTCGTATCTTCTCCAAAAATTGTTGAGCACATAACATGACATCATTCATATGATGTGATGGATGAAGTTATAGTGCACCCTTTTAATTGTGAATCTTAGTAGCAATTTAATAGGATGCATCCTTATTTTTTTAATGGAACCACATAATATACATGTTGGGTTATGTACAAATAGACTTAATTCATTCAGGTCATTTGTTGCACTCTATTATTGTTAACTAATGTAACTCATGGTTTACAACTTGCCACTAAAAATATATATGAGGTTGAGTTCATGTTTTTATATATGATCATACCCAATCCTGATAGTCTAGGTAGGAATATTGATGTTTGTTTTTAACCACTGATTAACAAGTTAGATCAATTATAGTTATTTAGAACTTCGACATATGATATCTTAACGAAATAAAATTTTCAGAACAAGACAACTTTAATATGGACTATTAATTATTTTTTCTACATATGAGATGATTTATTGTTGAAACATGCATGAAAAAATAATAAGCCCATATTGTATGGAAAATAACAAAATATTCACCTTAACAAATAGTGGTGTAACATCTTTTTTTATTGCCATGAAAGGATCTTGTTTATTCCAGCAATTTCTATTCATCCCCAACCATATTAAATATTGATTTTTGAACCCACATAATATTTTGAATGTTTCTACAACTTTATGATAAATTGTTAATTGTGGTGGATTGAAATTATTATGACTTGGGTTAGCTCTAATGGTTTGAATTAATTGTTGATTAATGGTGAAATTAGTGAGGTTATTGTTGGTAATACGAGGCTATAAGATTGATTTGTGAAAATTTATAAGCTTAGGTTAAATGAGAGTAAATTTTGAGGTTTATATTGTTTTGATGGTTTTATTGTAAAAAATATTAGGATGTTAAAATGTTTTAGAAATTATTTATTAAATTTCATGGGTTTCTTGTTTAATTCTAGTAATTAAATTATTCAGTCTACTTAAGAAAAAAATATTTTTGGAATTTTTTTATGTGCAATTTGTAACTTGTAATTGTCCATGTAAATTTCAAAAAAAATTAATTAAATAAATATTAATCATAAGTAAAATCAATTGGTTTGTAGCTTCATTTATTAACACATATTTACAGGTTTTAAAATTTTAGATAGTTTTTTATATAACAAAGGTGCTGATGATTCTTTTTTTTAAAAAAAACTTGAATATGGTGATAATGTTAGTACTTTTTTTTTATCAAATTTGTTTAGATGGAGGAACAAAAAAAAAACTTGAATATGATGATAATGTTAGTACTTTTTTTTATCAAATTTGTTTAGATGGAGGATAGAAGATCATTAGAGAGTAATATAAATAATAGCATTATTGGTTCTTCTAACAATGCTTATAATAAGTATAAGTTGTCAGGTGTTGTCCATGAGGAGACACTTTAGATATAAACATCATCTCTCGATGCAAGCTCATCAAGTGTATGGGTAACTCATAAAAGGGGTACCCTCTCTTATCAGGATGTATATATTGGGAAGTATATTTCTCTGTAAAGACCTAATCATAACATGTAAGTTTATTTTCTTTTCCTGCACAATAAGAAAATAAATAATAATGAATAATTTTTTAATAACTAATTTCAATAAATTAATGGAATTGCATACACAAATGTGGGGACTACTCACACGATAATATCAGAAAATGAAATTATTGATAAAAATACCTTTGTTTTAGTGGAGTCAAGTTTTCAAAATTTTTGAATTGATGCTAGGCTCAAAAAGTTCAAAATTTTTTTTGAATTGAAGCCTAAGATTGATGCTAGGCTCAAAAAGTTCAAAATTAGTATATACATAAATAATTTATTTTTTTAATATTTAAATTGGTTAGTTTTTTTTTAATTTTAATAAACTAATTATTTTATGAAACTAACATATAAGAAAAACTATTATTGGAAGGGGGGTGACAATGACATAGCTAGGAGAGTATGAAAAAATCATAGTACTATTAGATAAGATTGAATTCAAATTATGATATTTTTCTTTTAAATATTAAAATTTTATTTTTTATAATCTTAACCGATAATGTTTTTCTATGAACCAAGGTGTGTGATTTCTTGCACGAGGCCCAAAAAAATTAAAGAAATATACAAAAAATAAGAATTTTTCAGGTTAAGAAGACGTTGTTGTGTGGAGGGATTTCAGACTTTCACACATCTTAAAGGATATATGAGATGCTTATATATAACATATGACTTTTAAGTGTTTCTTGTGTTAGTCACAATATAATATAGAAAACCAAACCAATGAGATTTTCCGTTACCATACACACTAACATGTCTCTTTCATTTATTTCACACGTAAGACGGATGGTAAGATATTATTTTAAAAAAATTGTATCATATAAAAATATTTAACTAATAGTAGCCTGGTTTTGCAAGCTACAATGCTTGGGCGCAATTCAAGATTGATGGAGTTTTTTGGCTGAAACTCATATATAGAATGAGGGCCAGTGGAAACGGGTGCAGCAACTTATAGATAATTAAGCCTAGAAATTTATGGTAAGTTGGATTTCAACAAAAAAATTTAAAGGTATTATTTTTTTATTTGTTAGCTTGTTTTTTTTAAAAAAAAAAACATATAATACCTGATTGCATGGGATATATAAAGATAATCATTTAACCTATTCAGAACTTAATCTAGATTGTGGTTAGAAGCTTGATTTACAGGTGGACTCGATAAAAATTAGGTTTACAACATCTCTAACACTATGACCGAGGATATATGGGCACAACATGGTGTATCAACCATTGGGACCTCACAATCGATAGTGAGCCAGCAATCTCTAGTCCTCTAAACAATTGTACAAAAACAGGTTCAAGCTGAGATGACCCAACTTAGGGCTAAAATGGTCATATTAAAGGATAAAGTAAATTTTCTTAAGTAGTTGTTGGCAATCCTTATTAGTATCTGTGCTCTTCCTCATCGTCTTTTTAGTTCCGATGAAGATCTGTCTCCGCCTACTATTTTAACTTCTATTCACTAGATAGATAAATTGTATTTAATAAAAAAATTTAAATTAGTAATAAAAATTTTCCTTTCCTTTTATTTGAATTCTTTTTTAATTATATTGTTTATTTTATTTTTTTTAAAATATTACATACAACATTGATGGAATTATCAGTAGAATTTTAAAAATCAATGGAATTATTGATGCACTAAGTCCCCTAGGAGTTCTTGAGAATTTGAAAAAAAAAATTAGAATTTTTTATTGTTAGGTATAATTCTCTAACTAATTAATTATATAAGTAATATACATATTATTATTTATGGACTTACTAATTGTTTATTTTATTAGTGATATGTTATAATCACTGATAAATTTATTGAAGAAATTAAAGCTAACAAAGTTTTTTGATTTACATACTATTTTTATTTATAAATTTATTAATAATTATATTATCAAAAGATTTACCAACAAAATAAAAATCACCAATTATATGCCTTTTGACAACATGATTTTATTCGTGATTCCGCTGGTAATTTTATTTCTAATTGAATCAATATTTAAATACTATTAGTGAGATGAGTAGATTTAAGAGATATAAAAGAGCTGAACACAAATGAAAGTCTTACAAAGTTGTTCCCTCCTTGGCTATTTTTTTAATTTTATTTAAGCTGTTTTCTTTTTTATTTTTGTAATTAAGCTGACAATAGATCACCTGCTTTTAGTTATAATTCAGCCATCACTGTGATATTTTATGATAATTTAAAATCTAATTGAATCTAATGGCTATATAATGATTTAATTGAAAGTAAAAAAAGTTTGAGAATCTTTCAGTTGTGTCAGTGTCACCCTCGAAAGGGCTTGCCAGTGTTTCTGTTTCTCTTGACCGCTCTAGAGTACTGGATAGATAGCTTAGAACCCCAACCGTTCTTCACTATTATTAAGGGAGTATAAAACACTGCTGCACCAAAATCTGCTCCTCATTTCTGCAGAACTCAAACTCCGCCTTTTCCTATGGCAACACTCTATAAACTCGCATCCTTCGTTTCAATCTCCTACCACAAGCCCTTCTTGTACCATAAACAACAACAACTACAACAACGAGAAATAAATCTCGCAACTTGTGCTTGTTCAATCAAGAAACCCAGGTTTCTTAGTCCTTCGATTCTTTATGGAGTTATTGATATTGGTTCTATTTATTTCTCTGATTGATGGGCTTTTTTTTTTTTTTGGACTGGTGATTTTAGGGGTAGTCGGAAGGTGAAGAACAATGTGGAGCTTTGCAACGATTTGTTTTTTTTTGGACGGGTGATTTTAGGGGTAGTCGGAAGGTAAAGAACAATGTGGAGCTTTGCAACGATTTGCGTGAATTTGTATCAACTTTTGGACTGCCAGAGGGTCATGTACCTTCAATCAAGGAGCTTCAAGATCATGGAAGGTTCTTTCTTACATTGCTACTTTCTTTACTTCATTTCTAATTAATATGTTGCTTTTGAATTGCTTGTGAAGTTCTTGCAAATTTCAGGGACTTCATTCACTTTAGAAGTGAATGTCCAAGAGAAATTTAATGAAATTTTAAGCAACTAAGAAGTGAAATTCATTTACTATGATAGCAACTAGAACAGTTCAGTGGCAAGTATTATCAATAATCGCTTATTTGAGCACCTAACTTGGCTATGAAAGATGTCTATCTGAAATCATCTGTTCTTCTGGAAAGAAAGGACTCGTGCTTACATGAATGCAGTCATTTTTATTCAAGAAATAGAATATGACATAGTTTTCTTTCTATTTGTCTGAATATTCCATAGGAATGACCTGGCAAACGTTGTGAGACGGAGAGGATATAAACTTATTAGAGATCTTCTTTCAAGTTCAACTGAATCAGACAGTGATGAGCTGCCTAATATGGAGAAAAATTTAGCTAAAGGACAGGATACAATCAATCATAGTGCAGATATTATAGCAACAGGTTAATGCTTGTTTCTTTTTTCTATGCTTGAATTTTTGTGTTGAAGTTCCATTGTTGTTGATAGCCTCACATAATTTAGAAGGTCAGGATGAGAAGGTGAAGGATTGTTCCTTGTCAACTGAAGTTACTATCACCAAGAACCATTCTGGAAATATAGATTTTGAGCTGGAACACAAATCTGGTGGGCAGATTTGCATGCCAATAGAGTCGCCAGTCGATTTGACATTGGAGAAGAAGGCCTTGTATGATGTAGAGCAGCCAGATGAAAATTTTCAAATCATAGTCAAAGATAGACTGTTGTCGTCATCCTTAAGTTCTTTTGAACAACAAGATGAGGAAGTTAAATGTATGGTTGAAGATAATTCCATGTCAACTTCATTGTATGATGTGGAACAGCAAGGTGAAGAAGACTTAAGCATGGTCAAACAATTTTCCTTGTCAGCAGAAGTTTCCATTGCTGACAGCAATCTTGGTGTCTTGAATGTGTATCCAGATCTCAACTCCAATGAAGATACTTCCATGCCTGTAGAAACTTCAGCTACTTTTTCCTTTGAGGAAAAAGTAAAAAATGATTCAGTTCAGGATGAGAAGGTCAGCATTGGAGCGGAAGAAATGTCATTGTTGAGTGGGGTTTCAGACACACAATATTATGCCAATGTGAAAAATATTTCGGGTCTCATTGATAACAATAATAGTTGCATGCCAGCCAATTCATCATTGGTGGAAAAGGTGGCAAAGTTCATTCAGAATGGAGATTTGGATACCATTGAAGGTAAGTTCACTAATTACTATTGGCCTATGGAAGAAGGACAGAACAAACTGATTGTTCTGAAATGCACATAAGGTGTTCAATGCAGGCCTAAAATATATTAGTAAAGAATTGAAGAAATGGTTTGATAGGGGTGTAAATTATTTGTGTATTATGGTGTCTAGAAGCCCTAAAAGGAAAACCATCCAGAAATTTGGTGTTCTTTAGCATGCATGTTGCTGGGTGTAATTGTAGTGTGGGATTTTGTATTGTGAATTATGAGCTTCCAATGGGGAGATGCTCACAGATGTTTGTTGTCTTGAGATACATGTTTGCTGCTACCTAGTTGATTACGATTAAGAAAATTTAAAATTGCCAAGTGGACTCAGTCCTGCAGTGAGGCTAGAGGTGCAAATCAGTTGATTCACCCACAAACTGCATGAAGCTTGTCCAAAAATAAGCTTGTTTAAGCTTCTTTATCAAGGTTGCAAAGTCAAGGTCATTTCTAAGAGGAAGCTGAGCTTGAGCGATGTTTGGCTCATTTAGTTTTATAAGCTCTAGTGATCTGGCACTTTCAAAAGCTTTTATTTTCTAAAAACATTTAAATTCTTGTGCTAGTTTATCTTAAGGTTTTGGGCATATAAAAACTTTTGAGCTTGCAAATTTTGTGAAAATATTTATTTTCAACTAATTCTTTTAATAACTTACCTATGATGTGTGTTGTTATTTTGAGACATGACATATTACGTAAGACATGAATTTCAACTTATTTATTGGCTCATTTGTCCATCTAAACAACTCAAGTTTTATTGGAGCTCAGACCAATCTTTTGATTAACAAAATGTAAATGAGTCGAGCTTCAGCTCCATGCCCTAGGCTGATCACATACATGGGGGGTTTGAACTTTCCAAATGATTAGTTGAGCCAACCCTATTTACATGAAAGCTTGTGTTGACTTGGCTCATCGACTCATTTGTAGCCCCTGGTGAAGCTTTTCTTTACTTCTGGGATTTAAACTGTATTATAACTGAATTATCTACTGTGCATTTCATCATGAAATTCCATGCCTTTTCTTGTTAGCTGTATAGATGCATTCAGTACTTGATTTCACACATCGGAGTGGGGTCTGGCATCAATATTCATCTTTTAAGATATATTTGGCTGACTTTGAGTAAATTGATATTTTCTATGTTTGGTGCCTTTGGAATTTGAAGCTGACTCTGTGGAGCTTCTTGATTATCAGATAATGTCTATGGCTTGTCAAATGAGAGTGGTAGTGGAGAAAGCAAGGAATTTAGGGAACCAGAAAACATTGCTGAAGATCATTCAAAGATCTCATCTGAAGAGAACTTTGAAAATGTAGTTGGTGAAAGTGATACTGCTTCAACATTAAATGAAAATTTATCAACATCCATGCAAGTTGTGCCTTCTGTGACAGTAAGCCGTGCCCTCAGGTTAGTGTATTGTAAATTTTCTCAAAGTATTTCCCTTTTGAAGTTACTGTTTTTATTTAATTCTTTGCAGGGCTAGATTTCCTTTATGAATAGTGATCCAGCGCTACTTTAATTGCTTTTGAATTCTATGAGCTTCCTAGTAATATTTATTTCTGACTAAGGCATGTGTTTACTTCTGTTTTTTTACTTTTCTAGATTCGCTTTTTTCTATGATGTTTCTTCATCAGTTGTATATTATAATGCCTTTTTCAATGAAACACTTTATTTCTATTCTTTGAGTAATGAAAGAAAATTTGGAGATTTATCTTGTCTAGTTTTGGTAAAGAAACTAATTTGTCGAAAGATTCTAAATATTTTTTTCCATTCATGTTCCTGTCTACTTCTGATTATTGTATTAGCTACTGGGATCAAAAGGGAAATTTTGTAATCTACTCTTTTTTCTCTTTTTTCTCTTTCACTATTTGGCTTTTGTATAGGAATGAATCACCAGCTGAAGGTCTTGCTGGTGCTGATGTTGATCAGGATTTGGATATAGAGGTCATCATATAACATTACTAGTCACATTATGATACCCTGTTCAAGTTTCATGCCTGCTTATTTTATATTCTATTTCTTGGTGTTCATGTTTCTGTCATGCAGATGAACAAAAAGGACAATCAGATTGAGATTAATCACCTCAAATTCGTACTGGTATCCATTTTAATGTTCTCTCCAAGCCTTATCTTGCTTTCTTAATATATGAAGCTTCACTGTATGGAATAATTGAACTTTTTCTTGTGACTTTTGGTATAATAGCATCAGAAAGAGTTGGAATTATCCCAGTTGAAGGAACAGATTGAAAAGGAAAAGGTATGTAAGCTATAGTAGCCTTGCTAGTGGCTGATATTGAAATCATTCTCAGCATCCACTCATTGCAACTGGTTAGGTTTGTATGAAGAATATACAATGCCATCATGGTTATCGGATGCAGCTTATACCTTCATACATGAAAACTTGAGAGGCAAACATTGACAAATTTGACTAGTAGTGAATTCCTGTAATGTCAATGAGGAACCCCCACACAACCAATTTATCACCTTGGATTTGGTCTCAATATGACCATAAACGTTCTGTAATCCTCTGGTTGTGTAGAGTTGAATATAAATCTGCAGCTTGTAAGTCATTGATAGTAGGTAGTTTGTCAATATTAGGAGGGAGGGGGGTTGGGTTCTATTCAATTTTTTGATGGTTTCAAATGAAAACTTAGAATAAAAACAATTACTATCGTAATGTCAAAAATAAATTTTAAAAAATAAAAAAATATTAATTTGATGATTTCAAAGCAAAAAGTAGTTTGAAAAGCAACTACTACCAGAATGTTAAACACTGTATTAATTCTTACAAGGGCACTCTTCAGTTATTTATTTTGTTTTTAGTTTTCTTCTACAGATTGCTTTGTCTGCTTTGCAAACCAAGGCTGAGAGAGAAATCAGCAAAGCGCAAAAACTTATCTCAGAAAAAGATGCTGAATTACTTGTTGCTGAAGAAAGCCTTGCAGGACTAGTGGAGGTACTGCTTTTGAATCTTTTTGCACCTGTTCTGTATTTTGTAAAAACAAAATGGCTTGGTAGTTAACAATTTTGAATGTGCTACCAATAAAGGAATCATTAAATGAAACAAAATAATTTGTAGAGATTGAGCTAACTATTTGAAACTTTATGTTGCTTACTTCTGAGTGATATAATCACATAAATCTTTTTAGAAGAATTATACTTTCTGCAGTATAACTTCCTAAAATGATTAAATACCCTTTTATTCCCAATATATCTGAAACCTTCCTGATTCTACCGACAAATTGAAAGAAAAAGTAGAAAATATTTGCTCCAACTGGACAAAAAACAAATGACCAATCTAGTAATCCTTGTCAAATAGACCAATACATTGATTATTACCTGTTAAGTCCACTGAGTGAGGATCTGAGTTTACAGGTTGAGGTTGCGTATTGTGGGAATGGTGAAATGGTGGAGGTAGCAGGTAGCTTCAATGGTTGGCATCACCCGGTTAGACTGGATCCTCAGCCATCCTCTAGCATCAAAGATCATTTTGGATCAAGGTTTTTTAACATCCTCTCTTCTTTTAATTATTGCATACGTGATCAATTATAACTTTTGGGGAGCTAAATAATGTTTTTCTCTGGAGAAATTAACCTCATATATTGATTGTGTAGGTATTCTGTCACATGTCCTGCTAATAAATTGCTTACTTGGAACACTGCATCATGTTTCAAGATAATTCCTTTTCAAATCGAGTCCCAATATATTCATTTGGCATAACTTTGGCGCATTTGACCATTGTTAAATAATGTTGGCATTCACGGAGCTTGTAGACATTATTTAGTGCATGAATTTGATAAAATATAAGCTTTTACTTCGCCCAACAAAGAGGAAAAACTCTAATTAGAGAGTGTAACTTGGAAAGGTAGATATAGGAAACTTGAATACTCTGGAAAATTATCAGGTTCCTGTCTTTTCAGAAAGGGTTCGGTCAAGGGGTTTTTTCCTCCTTGCCAATCTATGAAGCTATTATTCCAATTGCATGCCATATGTTTTGTAATTGCCATATTGAAATGTTTCTTATACTGACATCTGGAGAGGTTGTATAGTCTGTATTTTGTTTTAACTGCGAGGGAATCCAGAGCTCACTGCGATGCATGTTTGCCCAGGAAATCCAGACTCTGGTCAGCAATGCTGTGGCTTTATCCTGGGGTATATGAGGTGCGAACTCCTTATATGTGCTATAACCTCATTTTTACATTCGAAAGATAAGTAACTTTGATACCAGGAATAGCTCATGTATTTGCTTCCAGCAGAATCATGTATCAAATGAATACACCAATATTCCCTTTCAATGTTGACGCCATCACATTTGGGAAAGATGTTCTGCTATATAGGAGACTAAAAATTATTAGGACTTCAATTTAAATTTTAGATAACACGAACTTGATCTGTCTATCAAATTCTATCGGAGAAGTGTTATATGCAAAATTTAATCTGTAATAATTATCTGAACAATTTACATAATGCTTGAGCAGATAAAATTCATTGTTGATGGCCATTGGAGGGTTGATCCTCAGATGGAATCGGTTACCAAGGGTGGAATTTGTAACAATGTTCTCCGAGTCAACAGATGATATTGTATTTCGGCATTCTGGGTGGAAGGATACTCTAGCAATCTTTCTGAACTTGAGGTAAATAGACTAGTTACATATGACATTTTCTTGAGTATCAAATCACAAACCAATTTGGGCGTGGTGAGCATCTGTTCTCTACCCTTGTTTAGCAGATTACAACCCAGTCTTGTACCTTTCATGATAAGATCCAAGCATCGTTGGCCAAGATCCAACCCGGTTTTAACAGAGGCATTGAGTGCACAAAAGTTGTTTCTTTTCTACTTGGTTCCGCCATGTAGAGTAACATGCATAATTGTTAAAAAATTAAATCGCGATAGTTTCCAGTGCTAGGTGTGATTTTCCTAATTCCTTCTGTTTACTACCATGAGCGATTACTCTCTGCGTTCATATTGGGCATTTATTGTTCTTCTATTGCCTTAAACATCATATGCATTCTTTTAACCAGTCTCCTTTTCAGTACAGACATGACATGATAGATTGGGTGGTTGAAATATCCGTATAGATGGTGAGCATTTGAGCTGCGAAGAAAGGGTCTTAGCTTCTGTGCAGTATTTATAATTCCATGTTCTTCAAGATAAAGCCAAAATCCATTGCTTGCAAGAACCTGGTTAGCAGCAAGAAGAAACCTGAGACTTGCTATGCTATGCATAGGGATGAAGTCGAAGCGTTGATGCACTCCTGGGGTGCCACATGCCTGCAGGTTTGTTCTAGCTAGAGGGACATAGCAAGATTCGCAGAAGGAATGGGCTGCTGAATGTGCATTTGTAAATTTTAACTGGCGAGATATAAGAAACCTCGAGTAGATCAGATTTGAAATGGACGTCTTTCTTTCCGGTCCTTGATTTTTGCATTTTTCAATTCTCAAGTTGCCTCTTTTAGGTGTTAGTCTTAGAGGGGAAAAAAAGGAGGATTATCACTTTCGAGAATTATCAAAAAATAAAACTCTTTTATCGTATGAAAAAAAACTTTGAGGATATATTTAGGGTTTTTTGTTTTGTTTTTTTTTTTTTTTGATCTAATATCTAATGAATGTAAATCTAGGATTAAGAAACCACTTTAATTAAAGAAAGCAAAGGAAACAAGGTGGAGCCAGGTGACATGATAGGTAAGAAGGGACCACGAACCCATGTGATGACGGCCTTACAACGCGCGGCTGTCAAGATCGGATCTGGGTAAAGTGGGGCTCCACTGTCTTTCTAATTAGGTGGGAGTGGGCCCTACCCACCGAACACCAGGGGACCACCATGTCTCAGGCTTTCATCATAAAAAAAGGGACGATGATCCAGGCCGCTGCCTACATAGTCCCACATATTGAATGGTATGGGATGGGGTGACGAATGTGGACGAAAATACAGTGGAAGAAAACCAAGTAGGCTATAAATAGAAAGAAAGGAAAGCGAAAAGGGCGGGGAAAGGGAAACAATCGAAGAGAAAAGAGGTGAGGAAGAGTGCAGAGAGCGAGTCAAACGAGGCCACGCTTCTCTATCTCTTATATATAGGCATACTTATCTCAAACAAGTCTCTCTCTCGCTCGCGATCGCTCTCGCTCTCGCTCTCGCATTTGAGATCTGCACATACAATCACAGGTCAGTCTCCTTCATTTCTTTGTTTTGTTCATTTCAATTTTAGGATTTAGATTGATTGGTGCTGTTCATGTTTTGTTTTGTTTGTGTTATTGGATTGATATATAGAGAGATTAAAAGCGACAACATTGGTATTTTATATATTTAGTTTGGCTGGGAACAGAAATATTTTTCAAAACAAACATTTTTCTCTATGTTTCCGAAATCTTGAAAATAGAAACAGAATACAAAGCCAACTACCAGTGATGGTATATATTGGTTTGAAATGGGCGAATCAAAGAATGATTGATTAGTTAATGGATCTATTTTATTTTATTTTTTTTCGTTTCTCAAATAAATCCTTATTTCCTTTTTTTTTATAAATTTTCATCAGGTCCAGTTTTAACATGGATACCTTCCTATTCACCTCTGAGTCTGTAAATGAAGGCCACCCAGACAAGCTTTGTGACCAGGTCTCGGATGCCATCCTTGATGCCTGCCTTGCGCAAGACCCTGAGAGCAAGGTTGCCTGTGAGACCTGCTCAAAGACTAACATGGTCATGGTCTTTGGTGAGATCACAACCAAGGCTAACGTGGACTACGAGAAAATTGTCCGGGATACTTGCAGAGGCATTGGCTTCACATCAGCTGACGTTGGCCTCGATGCTGACAACTGCAAGGTCCTTGTCAACATTGAACAGCAGAGTCCTGACATAGCCCAAGGAGTTCATGGACACCTCACCAAGAAACCTGAGGAAATTGGTGCTGGTGACCAAGGCCATATGTTTGGCTATGCTACTGATGAAACACCTGAGCTCATGCCATTAACTCACGTCCTCGCCACCAAGCTTGGTGCCAAGCTAACTGAGGTGAGAAAGAACAAGACATGCCCATGGTTGAGGCCTGATGGGAAGACCCAGGTTACTGTTGAGTACAAGAATGAAGGTGGAGCCATGGTGCCTATCCGGGTTCACACGATTCTTATCTCAACACAACATGATGAGAATGTCACTAATGAGCAGATTGCAGCGGACCTGAAAGAGCATGTGATTAAGCCTGTTATCCCAGCTCAATATCTTGACGACAAGACCATCTTCCACCTCAACCCTTCTGGTCGGTTTGTTATTGGTGGGCCTCATGGAGATGCAGGACTCACTGGTCGTAAGATTATTATTGACACTTATGGTGGATGGGGTGCTCATGGTGGAGGCGCTTTCTCAGGCAAGGACCCCACAAAGGTGGACAGAAGTGGTGCATACATTGTTAGGCAGGCTGCCAAGAGTGTGGTGGCCTCTGGTCTTGCTCGGCGCTGTATTGTGCAGGTCTCATACGCAATTGGTGTGCCAGAACCATTGTCAGTTTTTGTGGACACTTACAAGACTGGCAAGATTCCAGACAGGGATATCTTGGAATTGATCAAGGAGAATTTCGACTTCAGGCCTGGAATGATTGCTATCAACCTCGACTTGATGAGAGGAGGCAATTCCAGGTACCAGAAGACTGCTGCTTATGGCCATTTTGGACGTGATGACCCAGATTTCACATGGGAGACTGTCAAGCTTCTCAAGCCCAAGGCCTAAGTCTTGGGATTGGCTTGATACATTTCCTGGAAGTGGTTATCATCGTAGCCATCATTCTGCTTATGGGGGGATATAATAAAGACTCTTCAGCACATGCAAGTGATTCTGAGATGAACATGTTCCAAGGGTTCAAGTGAGACGGGATTCAGGAGTTTTTTAATTTTTTTTTTCTAGTTATTCCTTTATTAAGGAATAGACGTTAACCGTATTCATCAATTTTCATTACATTTTTTTGTACTTTCCAACGTGTCATTTATCTGGGTTGATCAATTCTGAAGCTATTATTTGTTTCCATTTACAAAATATTGCTTTATTTTATCCATCTATTTATTTATGAAGACGAGCCTTTAATTTCAATCATCACATACAAGTCTACAATGCTTGAAACGAGTACACTAAACAGAAAAGGTGAGAAAATACAGCGCACATCAAATTGATAATAAACAATCCTACTACATATTTCACGAATGCAACCACAAGCGATCGTGCAAGCGCTCTTCTCCGGCACCAAACATCTCATCTACCCTTTCCCCGTCGCGGTAAAAATGAAACGTAGGTGTGTAGCGAATATGCTGAGTGGTTTCCGGGCATTCATCAATATCCGCATATACGAAAGAAAGCTTCGGGAAGTTGTTACTCAGCTGGCAAAACGCAGGAAGAATCTGGCTGCACACGCGACACCTGAAAACACAACAGATATGTAATGATGTTGTGGTGATCTAACCAGTTCGTAAAGCGAAGCTGTCTGAACTTTCTCAGCCCGCTACATTACATTAAGGCTTAGCCGGTAAATGATGTGTAACAAAACCACCCCACCCTCCTATTGTCTCACATAGAACCCCTGACTGAAACTAAAAATATGTGAATAAATCTCGAGATTCGGCACGTGATGTTACACAATATTTGAATAACAAAAACCCCCGATGGATGAGCTAATCCTCGTTCTCTACAAGATATTTGGATTGAAAACGCAGTGGTGCAGTCTATCTATCATTTCTAATATTATACGCAGAAACACGGACAGTTCTCAAAGAAGTCTGACATCAAACACCTAGCGTGCATTAGCCACATAAACAAGAGGTGAGATAAGCGTGGAGAGGAAGAAAGAAGAATGCGGGAGCGTACCATGAAGCACCATAGTTGATAACTGCCTGCAAACATGTGAGAAATTAAAGAAAGTCAGGTCGCTGAAAATGAAAGGAAATGAGAAGAAAATGTTTTGAAGGCGAAAAACAGTGCCAGAGAAGAGGATGCAATCACAGGGGTATTGGAAGATTTGATATCGTGAAGAATTTGAAGGTGGCTTTGATCGCTAGAAGCACTTTTGAGGTTGCCATGGAGATTCACTGGCAATTCCAATCCAGTGCCATCTAAACCTTTCTTTGTATTATCCTCCATTTTCCTGCACCGCTCTTTTTTCCGTTCAGAGTTATTATGCTTTTTGTCCAATTTTTTTTTGGTCCCTGTAGTTCATAAGGTTTGCAATTCGGTCATGAATGTTTTTTTTCAATTTCAAAGATATTTTTTCATAGCGTTACATGCATATATAAGCTTTGATATGTTTTCTCACTTACATGATGTCTTTAAGTATTACAACATTGAATTAATAACTAATTTTATAAAATAGAGTTTTAGCTTCTTAAAAAAAAAAAAACCATTTGAGATACAAGACCAGGATTGATATAAAGTAAGAAATAGATTATTTTTCCGTAAAAAAACATGCAAAAGTTTCATTTGATCCCTAAATTTTTAATTTACGTGGTTAATTTATAAGAAAATAAATCATATATATTTAGCTAGCATAATTAACCTCAATGAAAAATAAAAGAAAATATGTAAAATAAAAATAATAGCCAAAATAAAATATTTACACGAGTATTTATCTTTTACTTCTTATAAAAGAAAAATAATCAACTGTCTTTCTGCAAAGATATTTAATCAGCTTTAACAACTCTTATTGATTTATCTTGTTAAATACGTCTATATTCCGTTGCCTTGAAATTCTAACCATAGCTAGATGCTGACTATTTGGATTTGAGAATGAGAGGTGCCAAACCCGTCTTGTTCAAATATCGAACGATTTCTAAGGGCTAATCCTTCGTGGATGAGATTTCTTGGAACATAGCTAGTTTGAAGTCCTCGTCATCAGCTTCTCTAGCATGAATAATTGCTGGAAACAACGCTAAAATTTAGGTTATTGTGAAAAGCTTCTCGTAATTTAGTCACAACTATCAGATGCATTTTTTGCACTGTTCCCAAATCAAATAACACTTCGGCAGAAAAGGGGATATTTTCGTTCGTCTAATAATATATCCATGAGCATTCAGTTTCTATGCCTCTGCATCTAGTCCACAAATAGCTCCGATGACGGTTCTCACGGTATTGATTATGAAGTACAAAGAAAATGAGCACCAAAAAGCTCTTGAAGATAAGTAAAGATAAGCTTATTATTGGACAGTAACTGGTTATTCAACACTAGAGACCCTTTGATTGGGAAATGGAGCTGTGAGGTTCATTTAGCTCTTGCCTAAAAGCAAATAAGAAGTTCTTTAATCAAATTTCATCATGAAAGCAGCACTAGTGTTTCTCTTCCGCTAAAACGGGCTTTGACAAGTTATTCAAAAGCCATCATTCTCCATCTCCATTTTAGGCTTTTTCTCTTTTCTATTCCCAATAAAACCCCTTCTGATCTCATTCGTCTATAATTGTGTAGGTGCTGCTGCTATCAGATAAAGCTTGCCAGATTCTGAAGCTTCACAGGCAACGGAAATAAAGATTGAGAAAAACCATCAACTTAGTAAATCCCAGAGAAAGTGCCTGGATGGAACAACTTGCATAGTGATTCTACAGCTGATTCAATCCGTGTCTGATCCTGCAATCAGTTTTCAATAGTTGCTCACTTTTATAGGAACAGCTTACTGCTAACTTATGAATTCTAATGGCAAGAGTTAGAATACAGCGAAAATTTCCTTTACCTTGCCTTCAAAACTAATTATTAGAGGCCCTTTTCTGGATTTGCGATAACACCCTTCATTTTGCACAATGAAACAATATGAGGAGAGACACTATATATACAAAAATGACCCAAGAAACAAATCTAAGAACCTTAGTATCTTACCAATATTTAGATCTGGGAATTCAAGAGAGAGTTTTGACAGAGGTTGGGCAGTTTCAACCTGCATTTATAGCGAAAAACAATACAGTCATGCTACAAACATAAAAATATTAGCTTCATAAGAATAACAACATCATTTAGCATATCAAAATCTGAGCATTCCGATTTTGGCGACACCACCACAGTTAAGACTTCAAATTTTTCAAATCTTACGGATGGGGGATGGCAACTCTCCTGACTGTAGCTCAGGGCTCCACTGAGCCTCCGATGAACCAAAAAATAATCCGATACATTGTAGTACTAGCTACAAAAATTATAACCACTTCCACATAAACGGTAGATGTTTCTTAGTTCATATGCTTGCTGGTGCAATTCAACTTCATGCTATCAAGAAATCATATACCAGGTATGGATGGGTGAAAATTCCCAAAATCCAGTCAACCAACCTTGAAGAAAATCAAAGACGACCATCTTGACAATACAGTCTTCAAATCTCATGACAAGTAATTTTGTAGGAGAGCCGATACGTTTACATTTTGAAAAATATATTAGATGCCAATGATATCCATGCACAGACCAAAAACTTCACCAAATAAGTTATATTGCAATTCAGTCAAGAACCAAGTATAACTAATATAAATGCAGCAGGAAGGATGACAGGATCAGGGTGAGTAGTTATCTTGGAACAGATTGAAAAAAATAATACACGCAGACATCAATAATAAGGATGTAGTCAAACTGATTCAACTCTAGCACTAAACACAATCAAATCATATCACAGTAAAAGTTAATAAACTGAGTGAAATGGTAGACTTTGATACGCACATCTGAAAGATTTGTCTGTAGATGCTTTGACACATAAGGTACCATCGTTGGCAAAAAGCCACAGGATCTTGTTAATTCAATCAAACAATCCCACTCCTTGTCCAATTCAGTGGCATTTGTTGCTGTGAAAATGATTACATTCTGGCACTTAATCTGAAAGGATACGATTTTTTGACCAAAATTCAAACAAGTCATAAATAGCATCAATTGCATTCTTCAAGAGGAAATATACAGCATCACAAATACAGTATTTTAGCTTCAATATACATACCAAAGGCACAGCCAGCTTTTCATGATGCAATAACTCAGTGATACCTTCAGGTAACAGTGCCATCTGAAGAAATGAAAATCAGGGACAAGATTAAATTCAAGTTGCATAGTTTGTTAGATGTTGATGGGCTTGCATATTCAGACAAAATTTCAGGAATGCAAACCACAAGATAAAATGTGGAGACTACCAACAGCAGATGGATTATGAAATCCTTGTCATAAAAAAATAACATTGTTCTTTTAAAAGCAACCTAATAACCTAACCCCAAGCATTGAGCCAAGCTGCAACATAACCATCAAGATCTAGGGAATACCAACCTTCTTTGACAGATAAGATTCCACCTACGTTAGGGAAGTTTTCAAGCATTTGATACCCATTCCATTAGTATATGGTTATCAAAACAAGGTAAAACTCAATGAACTTAAATTTTTCTTATTTGTGTTTTCTTTTAATAAAAGCACCATATCTAGATCATTCCAGTGTATGCTCAATTTTCTTAATTTTCATATAAGTTATCTTCGTAAGAGATGGAATTTGATACTACAGCAACAAATGCATTATCTAGATTAGATTGTCATCTTTCCACATTATAAATGAATGCAGCTGTGAAATAAACACATAATGAGAATGAGGCACAGACACCCCATTTCTTCTTCTTGCTAGTAGCAAATCATGAGCTAAATGCAGATATTAAATTACCTCATTTTGATCACCAGTGCAATGATCACCTATAAGATGCCTAAGATATTCTTCAAATTCTTCATCGGGAGCCTACATTGAACAGAATTAAGAGGTGCATTTAGTGAAATATTAAAGCTACATCGCAATCAACAAGTTGGGAAAAGCTGAATGACACCCTTTTGCAGTAGTTGTTATCTCTCTCTCTCTGTTTTTTTTTTTTTTTTCCCTTTCCTTTCTCAAGACGTCAGATTCAACCAAGAAATTTAAGAGATGAAATGAAGATCTTCTTCAAATTCCAGGAATTATCACTCATTAAGTGATACAGCGAGTGATTCTGTACAGACCAAATAGAATGAATGTAGCTAAATGATAGATCTTGCTTATGATAAAGGATAAGAGAGCGGGAGAGAGAGAGAGAGAGAGAGGCAAACTCACAAGACGAACCCCAAAAGCCTTTGCCACACCTGCTAAGGTAACATCAGAATGCAATGGGCCCACCCCTCCATATATAAAAACCTACAAGGATTGAGTAGACATTAAAATATCAGAACCTAAGAAGACAAAGCCCCAATTAACTTTGTTATATCAGTATGGAAATCAACAGAAAGAGATCTTTTCACAGAATGTGAGGATATACCATATCGTTGGTAGATTTCCGTCGCTCAACCTCTTCAGCCACAGAATCTTTCTGGTACAAAGAAAAATCCACAAAATCAGTTTCACGTGAAAATAAGAAACTAAAATGCTTGAATTCTGTATGCAAGCCCAAATAAGACATCTAACAAAGAACACAAATCATATCATTTATACAAAATCTTCTATTTAAATATCAAACCAGATCCACCCTCTACATATGACATACAAACAGATATGCTGCTTAAAACTTGTACCAGCCAACAGCAGTTCGTGATAATTTTAATAGAAGATAACTCACATCATTCTGGACAACAACAGTCTGTGATACCGACCAACCAATGGAATGGATCTTTCTACGCAATGAAGGTCCCAGTTGATCCTCAACAGTGCCGAACCTGAGCTATGGAACAGACAACAAGTACCAGAAACTTCAGCAATAACAGCTGGTAGTAGAAATAATAAAATATAAAGGGCCTAACATATGCAAACACACCCAAATATTTTAGTCGGATAGTGAGATTCTTGTTCATGTCTCCATTACATGCATGACCACTAAATGTTTGCACAATAAATATAGCCCACAATTGTCAAATTTGTTACACTTGTGTGCAGTCTAAGAAAAGACATTAAGACAATTTGAGGGATTATGAGCTAATGCAAACTTGACTACAGATCATGAAAATCATAATCTAATGAATGATAAATAAAAATCAGCAAATCAAACTAGAGTGAGCGGAAAGGTTATCATACCCAAGAAAATGTCTTAATAGTTGAATAAAATTGGTAAAAATTCAGAAACCAACTGCCACTTAATTGTTAGATGAATTGCCAGTACCAAATGAGGAAAATCCCCAGATTATGAGGAAGATAGAAAAACTAATATATAATTGCAGAAACTAGCAGGG